CTCATAAGTCTATATTGCATCTTTATCTTCATCTGTATTATCTTTTATGCAATAGGGTGCTCCTTAGGGAGCATTAATTGCTAGCTATCTCTTAGCTACTTAAGGGCAATCTTGGAAAGAAAATTATCACGTATTTATGGGAATGAGGCATTCATTTATTTATTGCCTTCTCCTAACAATCCCATAGCAATTGAATCAAGATGATAACAGTATAAATGTGTCCACTTATCTTTGTGGGGATTACTCCTTTCTCCATCTCCACCATCCATCCGCCTTGGCAGCACCAAGTTGTCCTTATATGGGGCACGCTCTTGTAAGTTAATGCAAAATGCTGTTTGCCACTCAACAGCACACCGAATGTATCTTTTCTCAATTTTCTTATAACAGAAATTGAATTTTGTTTTCTTTCTTTCTTTAAGATATGGAACAAGGACCTTGACTTGTGGATCATAAAAACTTAGCTAAGTATAGGTCACTTATGTCATTTTTAGATGAGATTGTTAAAGTTGTAAAGCAATCACTATGTTGGTTGTTTGGGTGCTTATGTGAAATGAACTATTTCAAACTGGCAGACGAGTACCACAGAATATCATATTAAACCTACTCAGTTGATTTAGGGTAAATGATTTCCACTATTTCGTAGGGCTATATATATTTTTCCCTTTCATGTACTTTAATGTGTGTGTGTGTGTGTGTGTGTGTGTGTGTATATATATATATATATATATATGAGAGATAATATGTGAATAAAACACATAGGACTATATGAAAAAGACACGTAATTTGATTTACTGAAGAAAGAAAAATAGTGATCGGATACCTTTCAACCTTTGAATGTATTTTTAGACACTTTTTTCCAGATATTTTGTGCATAAACACACATCAGAGGACCTCAACATCATACTTAAATTGTTATTTAAAATGCTCTGCTAAGGTTCATAACCTAACTTTCAAATTATCTTTTGCCTACCAGAGAGATAGAAAACAGAAAGAATAACTTGACATGTTCATGCTAAATCAATGACAAGGAAGTGAGAAAATATAAAAGAAATAAGTATTAATAACATGCTATTTCTTCTCTGTTTCTCTCTTTTGGATTATAATCTTTAATAGGTACTATGGCATAGATGGCTCTTTCCAAATTTGACATTTTAGGGATAATTTATTTTACTCTAGTCAAATATTTTTTCCTATTTTGAAAAGTAGTGTTATTTTATTTAATTCAGGTTTTTATTTCATGTTATTTAATTCAGATGAGATAATTAATGTATAAAACTTTTATTGACTGTGACATAGCAAAAGCAAAAAAACCCAAAAAAACCCACAAAAAGAAAAAACAACAATATGAGTTTTAGAGAGGGACAGACTTCAGTTTGAACACCATTCATGCCACATACTGTGGCTCTTATGTGGGTTAATTAGCCTGTCTGGGTCTCGGTTTTCATCTTTAAAATGTGAATAATGATATTCATAAGAGATACTGTGAGGACGAAATGGTAACATATATGTATAAAGTGCTTGGCACACATAGTTCCAATGATCAATACCATTTAACCTGGCTTACTATGAGATACAAAGGATGCTAAATGCATTATACATTTACAAATATAATTCTTACAGTATTCCTGTAAGGGTTATTTTGGTCCCATTATATAGATTTATAAATAAGTATAGAGATGTTGATTAATTTAACCATAGCTGCATAAGTCTTAAGTTGCAGGAGCAGAATTCTAACTGAAGTTCATCTATTGGTCATCTATTGCTCTGTAAAAATCATCTGAAACTTAAAACGGCAAACATTTCATTATCTCTTATGATTTTTGGGTTGATAGGACTGAGGTGGGTGGTTCCTTTGCTTCAAAAAATGTCAACCACAGCTGCAGCTATATGATGGTATCGTGGTAGGGTTGGGGGTGAGGTTGTAACATCTGAGATGGTTCACTCACAAGACTGGCAATGAGTGCTGACTGTCTTCTGGGAGCTCAGATGGGCTGTTGACTGGAGCACCTCGATTCTCTTCTTTGCAGTACTACATGTAGCCTCATTATGCGAATTACCTTCACTCAGCACAGAGGCTGGTTTCCAGAAAGGAATGTTACAAGAGGACAAGCTCCAATGTGCAAACATGTAAGATGCCTTCATGTGCATCAAGCTTGCTAATGTCCCTCTGGCCAAGGTTAGTCACATGGAAAGGCCCAGAGTCAATGTGGGAGAGAACTTTGCAAGGGCATGAATACTGAAAGGGCCCATTAAGGCTGCTAAAGTAATAGTTCACTTCAACACCTGTTATCAGAAGCCCTCTTTTCTGTCCTCCAAACTATCCTGGCTGTCAATAATCTTCTGTTCCCCTTCAGCAGCACGTTGGCAATGCCTTGTGAGGACTTAGGAGTTTCCGACAGAGTCAATTACACATTTTTAGTAACTTTTTACACTTTCCTGCTTCCAAATAAGACATAAAATTTCAATTTTATATAGTTTTAAAATAAATTTCAGTTTTATAAAGAGTTCTTTTCCATGTTATTCTTTTGTTGAATATACTAAAGTGATTAAGAAGTTATTTTTATATTTATACTTATAATCTAAAAAATAAAATAAATTTCAGTTTTAGAAAGAGTTCTTTTCCATGTTATTCTTTTGTTGAATATACTAAAGTGATTAAGAAGTTATTTTTATATTTATATTTAAAATCCTCTGTCATCTATTTGAGACTATCAATCAATGTGTCACTGAAAAAATCCACTTGGAATTACATTTAGGTAAGTAGATTCATGTATCAATATATTTTCTCATGTTTTTATATTACTGCATTTAAGAGAAAAGATAAGTTTGCAAAGAATTTATCCAAAAAGACAGGTGATAGAAGCAACCTCTTTTACATTAATTTTGTCTTCCCCCAAAAGGATGAAATATTTAAGCCTAAAACTTACCTCAAAGGTATGGTCTAGTCTGTATACTGACACTGAATTTACTGCACTGACTATCTCCAATACACCATTGAAATTATTCAAATCTTGAAAA